AGATAAAGAATAAAATGAAATATTAAAAACACGATGTATCTCGCTGCATTGCGCGAGTACTCTTCTAGTATATAATAATTTATAAAGTAATTAATAAATGTTATAGTAAAATCATTTTTGAAAGTGTAGGTGAATTGTACAAGTATAAATAGTAATTGCAAAAGTTGATATGACACAATTTTTAACATAAATGTATTGCAGAGATGCAGATGGTGTTATCTTTAGGGGGTGTTTGGGATCGCTTATTTTAAGTGATCATTATTTCAGTATGATACCGGTAATAAAGAGTTTTTAGTTTTTGGATGGAGGAAAAAAAATGCTTATACCGGTTTGACACCGGTAATAAAGAGTTTTTAGTGCATTACTTTCTTCTAACTTATTAACTTATTTCGGTTTGACACCGGTAATAAAGAGTTTTTAATATGTTACTTCCTACTAACTTATTAACTTATTCCAGTGTGGTACCGATAATAAAGAGTTTTTAATATGTTACTTCCTACTAACTTATTAACTTATTCTAGTGTGGTACCGATAATAAAGAGTTTTGGTATTTGAATGAGAAAAAAAAAATATATTTATCTATTTTATCAGCTTATCCGGTATAATACCACCATAAACTAATCTAAACAATTTTTTTATAAAACTTTAATTTACCATCGTATAAATTAATGACCGCCTTTAATAAAATAAAAAAAACGTACATTGTTTTAAATAAGCAGTCCCAGACAACCTTAGCATATGTTAAAAAGTACAGGCACAGTGATCACTGAAAATCCCTCGAGCACATTCACCGGAGAAATAACGCCGCCGTTCACTCTCTCTCCTACCTTTATCTTCATCCCTTTTCCGGTGGTTCGAAAGAATTGGGAATTTCAAGCAGATAATATCGTGATTCAATACGACTGTGTGATGGATGTTACAGAGAAACGCATGAATAAGAAGGAGAGGGCCAAAGAGCGTAGAGAGAAACGTCGTGAAGAGATCTCTCTCCTCCGTACCATTCCTTATTCCGATCACCAGAGGTATATGTTTACTTCGAATACTTGCTTTTATGTGTATATTTATGCAACATAGAACCCTAATTTCCGAATATTGGACTGAAATGTAGAAATTCTGATAAACATTTACTATGAAGTGGTCGAAGTTCAAAGTTAAGATTTATGACGAGCTACTTTAGAACACTTGATTACTACAGTACACCGTGCTATAGATACTATTGGTGTAATCGTGCTAACAGATTTGAGTATTAGAGGTAATAGGCTTCAGTACTATTTGTAGGAATGAAAATGTTCGCCGGAATTTGTAACGTTCGTTAGGAGATTGTTGACATAGAAACTAGTAATTCTGGAATTGGATCATCTTCTGTTGAAAACTAGGCTTCCCAATTAGAAACTCGAAGTGATGGATTGGCATTAGGTACTGCATTTTATCTTCTGTTGAAAACTAATATGTTTACTCCTAATACTTGCTTTTATGTGTATATTGTGCGGTGGAGAACCCTAATTTCCAAATATTGGACTGAAAATGTATAAATTTTGATAAACATTCACTATGAAGTTGCCGAAGTTCAAAGTTAAGATTTATGACGAGCTCGTGTACTTCAGGACACTTGATTACTACAGTACACCATGCTAGTAGATACTATTGCTGTAATTGTTTTAACTTATTTGAATATTAGAGGTAATAGGCTTCAGCACTATTTGTAGGAATGAAAATATTCGCTGGTATTTGTAACGTTCGTGAGGAGATTATTGACATAGAAACTAGTAATTCTGGAATTGGATCATCTTCGGTTGAAAACTAGGCTTCCGAATTAGAAACTTGAAGTGATGGGTTGACATTAGGTACTGCATTTCTGTGTAATGTTTGAACTATTGTGGTATTGGTCACTTTCAACATGATGAATTGGTACCTTTAGTCTTTCGATGGAAGGTAACAAATAACTCTGATACTCAAATCTGTTGAATGATTACACCAATATTGTCTATTAGCAAGTTTTTGTTCTAAAGTAGAATAGCTCGTCATAAATCGTAATGTTGAACTTCTGCCACTTCATAGTGATATTTATCAAAATTTCTACATTTTCAGTCCAATATTTGTGAATTTGGTTCTCCATTGCATAAATACACACATAACAGCACGTACTAGGAGTAAACAAATACCTCTAGTGATTGGGATAAGGAATTGTACGGAGGAGAGAGATCTCTACGTGACGTTTCTCTCTACACTCTGTTTTCTTTACCTCCTTAACTTGTGAGCATAAATGTTATGTTTCTGTTGAAACTCTTAGGTGGTGGTCTGCAAAAACAATAGCTGTAGTGACCGGTGCCAATCGAGGAATTGGATTTGAGATTGCACGCCAACTTGCGTTACATGGGTTGACGGTCATTCTTACTGCCAGAGACATTGCCGTGGGTGAAGAAGCAGCTAGGGTCCTACGTGAAGGAGGCTTGAAAGTTGTCTTCCATCAACTCGATATCGTAGACCATGAATCGATTGATTCATTTTGTGCTTGGGTAAAGGAAAAGTATGGTGGTATAGATGTTTTGGTAAGATGACAACACTTCCCTTTGCAACTTCTAGAATGAACCAAAGGTTCATTAGCCGCTAGGGGTGTAAACTAGTTGAGCTTTTAGTGAGCTACTCGAGTTCAAGTTCGTTTATCTCGAGCTTAATCTTTCTCGAGCTCGAGTTGATCTTGAAGATAAAATAGAATTGTTTAACTTAATGAGTCGAACTCATAAACCCAATGTTCGACTTAGCTCGTTCAAAAGAGTGACCTGAGGTGACCGCCAGTTTCACTGCCGGGCATAAAGAAGTGTGTCGTCATTTTTGTAAAAGATGTATTTTTAGGCTATTTTTGTAGTTCTGTTTACAAAAGGCTATTTGAGTTGAGAACCTTGTGACGCATTCAAGAGAAAAAAAGCAAACTTATTTGGTAAAAGGAGTATTTACTTGACAAGCTGTGGTCCCTAGATATGTATTTATCTGCTATTGTATGGCTTTAACTTTTGGGTGGGGGACACTCATTTAACTTGTATTTACCAGATGTATTTGTTAATGCAATCTTTTACAGATAAATAATGCTGGAATAAGTTATAATACCGGCTCAGATAATTCTGTCGAGTTTGCAGAAAAGGTGATCAAAACCAACTATGTTGGCACGAAAAATATGACTAAAGCTGCGATCCCATTGATGAGGCCTTCTGCTGAAGGTGCTCGGGTTGTTTTGGTGAGCTCACGACTGGGAAGGCTTAATGGCAGGAGAAATGTACGTACAATCTTTGCTCTCTAGCCTTTCGTCCTTAAATTTGATCCTCTACTTTTCCCTCAGTTTTAAACTAATTAGGAACAATACTCACCATCTTAAAATGTGTTTTTGACGGCCAATCAGCCAATATGAAGTCTAAGGGTCTGTTTGTTAGCAGCTTAATGAGACTCACAGCTTACTCGGTCAGCTATACATGACTGTTTGGTAGTGGCTTAATGATATAGAAAGTGGCTTAATCAGCAAGCTTCCAGAGGAGAGCTTTATGCAAAAAGCCAAAAAAAAAAATTCCAACCTGTCCTTCACAATTGAAAAACATGCTCATTCACCTATGAAAAAACCCCTTTCAAACAAAAACCTTCCCAATCTATACAGAGTTCATTAAATACCAAGTCAAACCACAATATTAATTAGACTTCTTAAAAAGGGTTATTAAATAGATGATAAACCCTAATTAAATACACGGTTCTTATAACTTCATGCCTCTTTCTCTATAAATACCCAGACCTTAAAACTCCCCCCTCATGGTTAACGCTTTAAACTCCTCCCTTCTGCCTCTATTGAAGTACTGCACTGGAGTACTTGCTACATATTTGAGTTGTGTATAACTGTGTGTGTATGTATATTTTTTCATAAGATGCGGCTCACTTGAGGCCCGCGCCTCGGCCTCGGGACCCCTTTGCGTCTAAGTGCGCCTTGAGCCTTTAACAACTTTGGAGACGAGTTTCTTATTTTATCTCGTTCCATCCTGTCCAGCATATCGAGCGCACCCTTGCTATCTTGACAATTTTCATCCCTGCTATATAATCTAGTCCCTGTTGATGATCTTAGGCCCTATTTGGGCAAAACCGCCAATGGGAGCTATAGTGGCTTGATTGTCAAGGTTGGTCCTTGCCTTAGCAACATGACAAATGGAACCTAGTGAAACACTGCCAATGGGAACTTTTTTTTCTTAAATCTTTTTGTACCTTTACATACTCTGTTCACAGACACACACATATAGGGTCAGATTCGGGGGAAAACCGCAAAAAAATGAAAAACTGATGAACACACTGGGTAACCGTTCATGTGGACGGTATGCACATATGCATCAAGTAATTTGTAAGCAATTTGTCCGATATTAACATGTGCAAAACATGCACACGTGCATAAAAACCAAAAAACAGCTTCAATTACTTGTATGCATATGTGCATACCGTCCTGATGGAAGCTCTCAACAAGCTAGTTTTGCTTGGCCACCTTAAGTGGATGCTCTTAAGTGGCTCGTATTCTCTTGATGTAGCTTTTACTAAATTCCATTTTGCATCATCTAATTATTTTCCCATATCAGAGGATTGGTGACGTCGCCTTGAGACAACAATTACAAGATGTGGAATCGCTATCGGAGGATCTAATCGACACGACAATGAACAAGTTCTTGGAACAAGTCAAAGACGGGAGTTGGATCTCAGGAGGATGGCCTCAAAACAATACCGACTATTCCTTATCGAAGCTCGCGGTTAATGCTTACGCAAGGCTTACGGCCAGGATACTCTCGGAAAAACCCGAAGGCGAGAGGATATATATCAATTGTTGTTGCCCAGGTTGGGTCAAGACCGCCATGACCGGCTGGGCAGGCCTAACGTCACCCGAGGAAGGAGCCGATACACCCGCATGGCTTGCCTTGCTTCCAAACCAATCTATTAGCGGCAAATTCTTTGCTGAAAGACGTGAGATAAACTTCTGAAAGCGGGTTCTGTCAAGTAAGACCCTCGTAAGTAGATGAATACGAAGAATTTCTTTGAGAATCCTACGAGATCCGTTCGTTCTTTTTTCTCTGAAAGATGGTCAGAACTTATCTGTGCTCGAATCCTACTGAAAAGTCCAATAGAGTTCAGAAATTGTTAAAGACCAACAAAATCTTTCGAGAGGTCCAATCGAGTTCAGAAATGTTTAATAGTTACGTTTTACATTATTTTTAGGGTCTCGTGGGATTTGTCAAGCTGCGTGCAAGCCCGCAATGGCCGTGGTATGGGGTATATCGTCACCATGATCGAGGGTGTCGTTGGAGGGGAAGGACCATGATGCAAGGATAAATATCTGTTGTCACGAAATCAAACGTCTCGTCTCTATCCAACCAATGAAATTGGGACACCTCATATATTCATATTATTTGTATTGTATAAGTTTTATTTCATAAATTTTTAGATTTTACAAAAACACCCTTAAATTTTGTATTACTTTTAATTAAACCGAGCCAAACGAATCTATATGATATTTAGATGTCGGGTTTGAAGATGAAATGTATGTAGGCCTGATCTTTATTGTCATATAAAATTTTTACATGAATAATGCCAAATTAAAAATTAGGTAATTTTATTTAATGGTTTTATAATCTGAACTTTTCTACGAAGGTATTATAATTAGGAGAAAATTGCATGAAAAAATAACGTATTTTAACTTGATTCTTATTTTGGGTAATATATTTTTAAAATTTTCATTTTGGCACCTAAGTTGTAAAGTTCTATACATTTAAGTATTTGGGTAACAGGTTGAAGCATTAACAAGTTACTATGCTGATTAGGCGAGTTTACTCCGGGACAAAAATCGTTATAAACGTCAAACTATAAGGACCAAAATCGTAGTTTACTCTAGTTTATTTTAAAGGTAAACAAACAGGGATCAAAGTTGATAGTAGTCGGTCACCGTCCGCCGAACAAAGATCAGCCCCTGCCTAGCTGTCGGTTGCCGTCCGCCGTGCTCGTCGTCAGGCGCCGCCCTTGCTCGGCCAGTTGTCTCTCAGACTCAACTCTCAGTCTATCAGGTTCTGTCCTAATTCTCTAAACTCATCTGATTTCTATCATGTTGCCCTAATTTTGTATCGTTCTGATCGATATGAAGATGATTCTAAAGTTAAATGTACAAACAACATTGAATTTAGATTCATTTTAATGCATTGATTACTTGTAAGTGGTGGTTCGTTCGAAGTAGCTGGCTACAAAATTGCCATGGTGTTTCGTGGAACCATAGCATTTTAATTTGTTTCAAAAGCTAAACGTACAAACTGTGTTGCATTTCGATTCGTTTTAATGCATTGGTTACTTGTACGTGGTGGTTGTTTGAAGTGGCTGGCCACAAAATTGCCACGGTGCTTTGCGGTTGTTCACAAAGGACAGCCGTTCTCCCGCTACGCCACGCACACCTTGCGTATCTCTGATGGTGAATCGAACAAATAAAGAGATCTCACTTCCTAATTCACAGTGATATCGAATTTGATCATAAGAAAGAGCTCAAAAATGGCGAGTTTGAGAAGAACTCTGTTGTTTGGCATATCTCGCTTCCTTAATTCGACGGCCGCTCCCGCTCGGGTAAACGCCGGCGGCGCGTCATCAAATGGCATCATCCAGTATCAATATCTTTACAAATCAAGGTAATCAGTTCTGTATGTGCATGTGTGCTTGTGTTTTGCCTAATTTTGTTCGTCTATTGATGTTTTATATAATTTTCAGGCCTTGTGTTAGTTCCTTCTCTCGTCTCTATTCTTCAAATGATGGTATCGAATCGCTAGATTTGGATTTATCTAATGAAGAAAGCAAGCGGCAGTTGATGAACAGGTTTGTTTTCATCCTTATGAATTATAGATGGATCCAAAAGCTTTTTTAGAAGAGTGATTGACTTAATTGATGATGATGAACTCTGATTTCTTTCATCATGTTTACTGTAAATTGGATAGATTTATATATAGGAGCAAACAAAGGGGTTTTCTTGAGCTGGACTTGGTTTTGGGAAGTTGGGTGGAGAAACACATTGGATCTTTGGATGAGAAGGGGATTAGAGCCCTTGCTGATGTCCTAAACCTGGTAAATTTTGCAAATGTTGTTGTTAATTATCAGATTATTCTTTTGTTAATCTCTATATTACCTTTGCATGATCATGTAAACCGAACTAGTATATCTCACTCGGAGATGGGGTTTGAGTATGCGATGTACGTAGACCTGGCATGTACTCCAAAGAGTAGAGTTGTTGTTTCGTAAAACCCCCAATTTTGCACAATCATGTAGTTATTGAAATTGTTCGAGGGTCTATTTGTAAGTAGCTTAATGAGCTTAATGAGACTCGCACGTTTGGTAGTGGTTTAATGATATAGAAAGTGGTTTATTCAGTAAGTTTTTAGGAAAGAGCTTTATGCAGAAAGCCAAGTTTTTTTTTCCAAACCTGCCCCTCCAAATTAAAAAACACGCTCTTAATGGAAAAAACTTGCAAACAAAAACCTTTTCAATCTAGACAGACTAATCCACACAGACAACTTTATTCATACATGACTTAATGGAAAACCTACCAAACAGCTCCGAGTCTTCTTGCATTATTTTGGTCTTACTGAACAGCTCAAAACTTTTGTCTATTATGTGCAAGCTCTAGCTCATTCTTTAGTGTTGTATGCAATGGATTGCCAGTTTAGTTATGTTAACCAAGCGAAAAGTAGTAAGGTACCTTGGCAGTCAACCTTATTAGGTTATCTTCGGTCATGGTCCATCGGCCATCTTGGATCTATAAGGCGCGAACCAGCTTACTTGGAACAAAAAAGCAGCCCTTATTATGACAGGTAGAGAATGGAGGAAAATAGCTCAAATTAATCCCATTCATTCTTAGGGGCTCCTTGATTGGGTTTTAGGAAGGAAATAAGGATGAGAATGTTGTGGAATGAAAATGGTAGCGAGTTTCATTTCTTCCAATTTTGAGAAATGTTTCATTACCCAAGATTCTGGTAATGGCTCATTCCATAGTATCAAACTAAACATCGTTAATGATTTCTATATCTATCGAGCACTCCCTTAGTTTTGACGAATGGCCCAACTAGAGGGCTTTCACGTTGTTGGTAGTTGCAGTGTTTGATATGCGTTTTGTGTTGCTATTTCTTCCTTCTTTTGCCATGGAAGACATGTTATAGGTTTGTCTCTTCTGATGATCGGTTTTCATCATTGCATGGAAACAAAATTCGCTCTATTCGGTTTTATATTATTTTCCCGACCGCAGGAAAATCCAGATTTGTGGAAATGGCTAACTGGGCAAGAGCAACCTCCAGAAGCGATCAACACGAATCCTGTGAGTTAGACATCACTTAAAATCTGGAACCATATACCCTCATCTTTATCTGTGTTTCTTCCCTATTTGAACGGTTACCTTATCCGGGCAAGTTCATTTCTATGATAGGTATTTGTTGAGGTGCGTAGCAAGGTAATGAAGAACCTCGACAACTGTGCTTCTCCACAGACAAGGGCCGCACCTGGGCAGCCATGGGTGAGAGGATGGGATGATTTCAAGAAAGGTCGTGATAGCCCTATGGTCGGCAACCAGTAGGTATTTCTATGACCCTTTTTTTATAGTAAGCTTGCGTATTATGTTAAAAGCGTGAAGAATAAAGCTGTCAAAAGCGAAAATTGTGTAGTGACATTAAGTTGTACGCCATAGATAACTTTACGTGTGAGCTCAATCACCATAGTCGTTCCTGTTTACAAGATTGTTCTGGATGAATAAAGCTGTCTGCATGGATAAAGCTAATACATACAGACACCACAGTTGGCGCGTAGTATGTTAGTGTATGATGGTTTTATTTGTTCTTTTCATTAAGCCCATACAGACACCATAGTCATTATGTTAGTGAATGATGGTTTTGAGGTGGTGATCTCTTTTTTCTCTTCTAATCTATTTATGTTGCTTTTTGTGTTGTGCTCTTTTCTTTAAATTCAGTTTCCAGATCGTCTTTATTGCCTTTTTTGGGTACCATGGGAACTCGGAAGTGTTGTAGAGGGCTCGCTATGACAGCCCCGTGGCTCATAGTAAAAAAAAACATGTGCCCATAGGGTCCTAATCAAATGAGAACTATTTTGTAGACTTGAGATCACATGAGATCAGTATGTTTTTGTGAGACCCGTGAGACCACTTTTTTATACTTGAAATTTCACAGCAAAACGCTGTGAATGTAACCTTCGTAGTGTTTTTGCTGTGAAGCTTCGACTTTTTTTACCTTCACAGCATTTTGCTGTGAAGTTTTAAGTGTAAAAAATTGTCCCACGGTTCTCACAAAAACAGGTTGGTCTCACGTGAACCCAACCCTAAGTATTTATCTCTATATATAGAGAGATATAAATCGCATATTGAAAACCGTCGTGACCTTTGCTGTTGTGGCTTGTAAGACTCGAGGGATTACAAAAAATATAACCGGGCAAAGTAACAGACCATGATTGAGTCTTAAAGAGTGAGAGTTGTGATGTTGGGTTTAAATCATGGGTTAATTTGAAGCATATTATGCTTTTTTTTAATTAATAATGTGTAGTAATATTGTGTCCATAATTTATATTTGCAAAATTATATACATGTTCAATGTAATTTATTAATATAAAAGAGTTTACTAAGCAATAATATTTTATTCATCACTAAATTGTTAAAATAAACCAAATGGTATTTGGCCTAACGAYATGCGAGTCTTTGGCCTCCTATAAGGGTTTAAACCTCAAGGGTGTGTGAGTTTATTTGTTCTATTTACCATATACAAATATTATATACTTCAAAAAAAATGTTGAAAAATAATAGATCTATGTAATCTAGTATTTTTCATTGAATACAAATTAAATGGTTTACACAAAGCGACCATTTTAAAAGAAGAAAAAAGGTGGAACTGCTATAGTTAGGGGCCGTTTACCAAACGCTTATTCGGGTAAGGATTTACCAAGTCACATTACCTCATCGGATAAATGTGGTAAGGACCAAGAATCTTACCCGGTAAGAGCGAGACAATGACCAATAGTCTTACCCAGTAAGTGAGGGCGACGACTCTTACCACGGTAAGTGCTTACCGTGTAAATTGTTACATGCGATGTCGTTTTGGTAGACTAAAATCTTACCCGGTAAGTAAATAGTAGTGTTATATTTTACCGGTAAGCACTTACCTGGTAAGTATTTAGTAAACGGCCACTTACTTCCTGTATTACTTAACGTTCTAGCATATTTATTTGTCTTAAATATGTAGGCATATTGCAACAAAAATAATTTATTTTATTTCAATCTTTATTTTCGAAATGATACTCCTTTTTTTTTATAACACGTATATCCAAACCCGCTCTGTGAGCCGATAATCCCAGGACGATCACTCGTTTTGCAGGAAGCAAAGAGTCACCGTATTTGAATCTCCGTGGGTACAAAAGGATTTTTATTTCTCATTGGATTCAAATCTGTAACCTCTAAGCACTTTTGACTTTTGGAGCTCAAGCTTAAATCAATCAGACACGACTCTTGTTATTAAAGATACTTTCAAATGACCTACTTAAGTGTCTATATCAAACTTTATAAACTAAAAAAAGAGTTGGATACCTTTAAACTTGATAAAAGTTAATGAAACATAAATGACGTAATAATAAACCAAATTAAAAATTGACTTATCTATAATGTAGCAATTATATTGATTTTCTTTAATATACCAAACATTTCTAAAAACACTCAGACCAATTTTAGCACAAAATAACATAAAAATTGCTATAATAACAATAAGACTTAGGATAACGTGACAYCAGCTTATTTTCATGAGACTATTTTTTTACATTTGAAACTTCACGGTAAAACGTTATGAAGGTAACCTTCACATGTTTTTGCTGTGAAGGTTCGACTTTTTTACCTTCACAACGTTTTGCTGTGAAGTTTCAAGTGTAAAAAAATGGTCTCACAAAAACAAGCTGATCTCACTTGAACCCAGCTCATAACAATAAATAATAATAATAATAATAATAATAATAATAATAATAATAATAATAATAATAATAATAATAATAATAATAATAAAGTCATGTCAACATCATTTTTATTAAAAAATGACACATCATCAATATTATAACGGGAAATTGGTCCTTTTTTGGGTTATATAAAACCCCTAAATACATCATCCGAAAATACGTACCCCTTCTTTGTAAAAAAGTTATAAGAATTTACAAAATCCGCTGAATTTTGTATCTTTTATCATAAATAAAATATATATTTAAATTAGATCAAAGGGTAAATATCTACTTTAAAAAAAAGGCAATTGAAGTTTGTCAAAAACTGTAAAATAAGGTATTCATCTATAAAAAAATGAATCCTATCTTTTATTTGGTGTTATCCGTACCTTATTATGTATAAAATGACTATTTTACCCTTTGATCTAATTTAAAACTTGACACCTTAGGTACCAAAATAGAGTTACATGTTTTTCATATATACTCAACATAGCAATAATTCTAATATTAATAAATATCCAATTTTAAATAAAAACAGATCAAGAAAATACCATTTTGTAAAGGAAACAACATAAAAGGTTGTTGCGACACTAAACGATGATCACCGTAAGTCCGTAACAAACTATTGTCGTAGATTTTAGAATAACCGACACGACTTCAAACATTGTCGATGGAATCTTGATGGCATGCTTATGATATGATTAAAATGCGTTTAAAATAAGGAATTGAATAAGTTGTAAGTTTACAAAAAAAACACCCAACCCATGTAATGGTTCTTATTCACTCAGCCATATATGAGTTTATTTTACGGCTTTAATCGTTAAATCACTAAGGGGTCATTTACCAAACGCTTATCCAGGTAAGCGTTTACCAAGTCATATTATTTTAGTGGATGAATATGATAAGGATCAAGAATCTTACCCGGTAAGAGCGAAGGCAAGGACTGAGAGTCTTACCCGGTAAGTGAGAGCGACAATCTTACCACAGTTAGTGCTTACCGGGTAAATTGTTGCATACGATGCTGTTTTGGTGGACTAATATCTTAAGTAACTGATAATGTTGAATTTTACCCGTAAACGCTTAGGTAAGTGTGTGGCTAAACTGCCCCTAAGCCAAAATGACTAAATATAATAAGCCAGGACCCCATTAGATCACCTCAAGCAAATTAATACCAGAATTGTCCCATAAATAATCCAACCCTCTCTATTTGCCTCTCAAATCCATTAGTCTCCCGTCCTTCGAACACACATCTTAATCCATACAATACTTAATGAAAAACATATATAAGACAGACGAAAACCTCAYTACTTTTTAGAACAGATAAAATGTTTGCATACATCTTACCCCTCAGACCCATCTTCGTGGACCGTGTCAGATACACTAGAAATGTTTTTACACGTCTACGTGTGAACAGGTATACATCTATCCTATGTGTACATCTCTCTCTATATAGGCGAGAGTTGTGGGAGAAGGGAAGTTATGGTGTGAAGTGTAAGAAGAGGTTAACCACAAGGGTGGTGTCTGATAGGTTTGAGCTTGGCTCCAAAGGTCAAAAGTACCCGGAGGTCCCAGGTTCAAATCCAAGGAGGAATAAAAATCCCATTGTGGCCATGGAGGTTCAAATGCGGTGACTCCGGGTTATCTGCAAAGCAGGTGGTCGCCCTGGGATTAGTCGGCTCGCATAGCGGGTTGGATATCCAGGTTAATAAAAAAAAAGTGTAAGACGAGGTCTAAACCGTTGATCACTTTTAATCTCATGCCCACCCATGAATTGCGTTTTAGAAGGGAATTGATCCGGTGCATCTCGGTGCACCTTCATTAGTGTTGGCATTCAATTAGGATTGATCCAAGGGTGAAGATCTCTTTTTATGCTTCTCACCGTAACCCAACCCTATATATATACGTAGCAAGAGAGAGAGGGGGTGGGGATGTAACATCATACAACTTCCAGGATATAGAAAGAAAGAAACAGATGGAGGGGAAGCAAGTGATGTATGAAAGTAATGAAAAAGCAGAAGCAAGTGGTGGTGTTCTGCATAGTAAGAATGGGAACATCAGCCAAAAGGAACACAAGATTATTCTTCAAATGAGAGCTTTAGTTGAAAAGCATGATTCTACCACCAAGGTCAGCCCCCTCCCCCCTTTTAGATGGAAGGAGCGTGTTTTTTTAAGTGGGAGTGACGGGTTTGGAAAAAACTTGGCTTTCTGACATAAAGCTCCCTCATAAAAGCTTACTAAATAAGCCATTTTCTATATCATTAAGTCACTACCAAACAATCATATATAGCTGACCGAACAAGCTGGGAGTCTCATTAAACTGCTAACAAACGTGCACATAATATGGATAAAGTTGTTTGTATGGATTAATCTATCTGTATAGATGGAAAGGTTTTTGTTCGGCAAGGGTTTTTTCATATGTATTCTTTAATTGGGAGGGCAGGTTTGGAAAAAACTTAGCTTTCTGCATAAAGCTCTCTTTTAGAAGCTTTCTGAATAAGCCACTACCAAACAGTCATGTATAGCTGAGCAAATAAGTTGCGAGTCTCATTAAGTTCATTAAGCTACTAACAAACAGGCCCTAAGACTAGCAACTCCGTAGATACAATCGTATGAGATCAGTGTATAATGACTCTAATTGTATTTCAGGAGTGTGACGATGCAACAATGAGACGGTTTCTTAGAGCTCGTGATTTGGACATCGATGAAGCTAGTTATATGTTTCTAAGGTACCTAAGATGGCGAAAAACATTCCTTCCAAATGGTTCGATTTCTATTTCAGAGATCCCAAATGATATAGCGCAAAACAAGATGTTCATGCAAGGAACGGATAAAAGTGGACGCCCAATAACGGTCGTGTTTGGCGGTAGACATTACCGCAACAAAACCGGAGGTCTAGAAGAGTTCAAACGTATGTTTTTAAACTTATAACAAGTGTTCATTAATTCAAGTGTTTTGTATGTGTTTTATAAACCAGTAGTGAATGCATCACAGGCTTTGTGGTCTTTGGACTTGAAAAAATATGTTCAAGGTACAACTATCTTGCTTCACAACTCATTTTATTTTACTGCACTTGGTATGCGGACGGAACTGGATAGCACAGGATAGGTGAGAGTAAGAGGTACGTGGGTGATAGAATTCTGGAAGGTTTTGGGTTTTAATTTTACATGGGTAGCTTAGTAATTTACCAATCTTGGTGGGACAATAGATGCGATTTTGTTCCACTCAGGTCTTGTCCTATCTCAGTCTAATGTCATGCTAAACGTGAGACAACATTTTTTTGTAATGTCCAATCATGTCTAGTGTACCAAATGCACTCTAATTGAAAAGATCGTGTGCTCCCTCCTGTCCCCGAAAAATTGCAAATTTTTTGACTTGTCACATAATTTAATAAAAGTTTTCGAATGGTAATAGAATACCTAAAATACCCATGAAATACAAAAGACTCTTGTATCACAATTATAGTCTCACCATATCTTGCAATGAATGCAAGTAGATAAACAGGTAAATTTGAACCGAGACAACGCAAAATAGAAAGTGAGTGCATTTTTTTGGGACGAAGGGAGTAAATACCATTTTTGGGTTTTGTTATGAAAAATATTTGGTGATCGATATCTAAAATACGAACATCATCAGGATGACACGAGGCCAGGAAAAGTTTGTGTCCATCAATGATCTTCAAGGATGGGGATATTCAAACTGCGATATACAAGGATATCATGCCTCACTCTTAATTTTACAGGTCTGCATGCATCTAACCCTTTGTATGTGCACGTGCAAGCATGCCAAACACGTGTTTATGAAGAAAAACCAAACGAAACTCAGGATATCTCACCCGAAGGTAGGGTTTGAAAGAGGTAAAATGTGCAGAAAATAGAGATGCACAAAAAGCAACAAAGCCCGAACCCAGGCCCGAAAAGCCCAGGTTTCTTTGCTTACTGAAAACTAGGATTGGAAGGTCCAGGCCTTGTGCACCTCAGACCTAATGCCTATCTCAAAGGACAGAGAAGCTGCTTCCGAGAAGAAATAGCCTTTCMTTCCATATCTTTTATGGACATTACACATCAAAGCATCTTCAATAGATTCTCTATAATTTTTCTAAAATAGAGAATCAAAAGCTTGAAACCTCTAAAAAAAWTKSMWTYMAMYYCMA